CAAAAAAAAAAAAAAAAAGAGTTCTTGGTCACACAGAAATAACTCCCATCCCAAGGTCAATAGTTGTTCCTTCTTGGAAATCCTCCTGATATAGAAAGAAAACCATTACACGGTTATCTTTTTTGCATTTCGCGAAAATAATAACATGCAAACCGAAATAAAGTCATACCGGATCATATATCACACGAACCATTAGGGAACAACTTGGGCAACGAGCTATGTCTTCCCCGTCCATTAGATCGGCCTGTTAAAAATCACGAGTCACTATTTGAGAACGAAACGTCCTAAAACAAATTACAGAGACCGACCATCGTAATTTCGAACCGATCACCACACGGACACGGATAATGATATGTCTGTGTCTCTTCATCGAATTCGAAATCCTCTAAAACATTGTGTACAAACACAGTTTTAGACATGGGGATAAGAGTGTTTCGGTGTTTAATTTAAGGAAATCAAAGAGTCAAGGCTACTGATTTACCAATCTCGATTTCATCGTAAAACGAAGTCATTTTTTTTTGCAATGTTCTCTATAATAGTGGTACGGTCTGATATATTATTGTTGTGAACGTCCAATAAGATCACGAACAAAGGTCCCGTGTTTAACTGCACATCGATATTTAATCGGTCTTTCTCTCGACTCGATCGTCTTTTATAATTCGTATGGTTACCGAGTTAAAAATGTATCGATTTATGCTGCACCACTCGAAGATTTCGCACGTCCTTTCGGATAAATCTACTATCAATTCCATGGTTCGAAATCCTTCGGCGTTATTCGGAACAAATGGAATTACCATATCACGTAATGGGCGCAATGTCAGGTTTTCTTCATCGATCAAAAATTTAGGTAGGAGCTATGACATTCTTATGACAACCAGAGGTTACGAGGAAATTAAGGTCCCTCCGTCTTCTCTATCATAGCACGGAAGCCGTTGTTTGACAAAATCCTGGTCGCAAACCGGTAATTTTCTCTGTTCTCTCTGAAAGAGTTCTTGGGGCGTGCGCTCTTCTAATAAGAACATTCTTTCTTAGTGGTGAAATTGCCTGTCGCGTAATGCGTACCGCTAAAAAACTTGGAATAAAGGCTGTCGCCGTATACAGTGAAGCCGACAAAAACTCTCTACACGTCAAAATGGTAAACACTCTCGCTTGTATATTGACGTATTAAGATTCCGCGATGATTATCATAATTTAATTGTTGTAATTCTCGTTCGCCTAAAAAACAGGCAGACGAATCTTATCTCATAGGTCCGGCACCATCATCCGAGAGCTATCTGAACATCGATAAAATTATCTCCGTGGCTCAGAGGAGCGGTGCACAGGTGTTAAACGCCGCTTTGAAATGAACGCATAAAAATGTAAATTATTGTTTTACATTGTTCATCTGAAAATCCTGTTAATCGATCTTCCTTTTCCGTTTCTACGAATCGACAGGCAATTCACCCGGGATACGGATTCTTATCCGAGAATGCAAATTTTGCCGAACGTCTCGCTAAGGAGAGAATTACCTTCATCGGACCACCTGCTTCGGCAATGATTTCCATGGGATCAAAAAGGTACGAAAAACTTTAGATTGAACAATTGCTTTCGATGAGGCTGACCGAATTCGTATGATCCCGCGCAGTGAATCGAAAGATATCATGATAAAAGCAAACGTCCCGGTGGTTCCCGGTTACCACGGATCAAACCAGGATCCTCTGTTCTTAAAAACAAAAGCCTCGGAAATTGGATATCCGGTGTTAATAAAGGCCATCAAAGGAGGCGGTGGCAAGGGAATGAGAATAGTCAACGACCCATCCGAATTTGAAATTCTACTCGAATCCTCCAAACGAGAATCAATAAAATCATTTGGGGATGATCAAGTTCTCATCGAAAAATACTTGTCAACACCCCGACATGTTGAGGTGCAAGTGTTCGCCGATACTTTCGGAAATGTCGTTCATCTATTTGAACGAGATTGCTCTGTTCAGAGGCGACACCAGAAAATCTTGGAGGAAGCACCGGCTCCGGGCATAACTCATGAGGTACGACAGGAGCTCGGGGAAAAAGCGGTTGCGGCGGCTAGAGCCGTGAATTATGTAGGAGCCGGTACGGTGGAATTCATTATGGATAATGAGGATAAAAGATTTTATTTTATGGAGATGAATACGAGATTGCAAGTGGAACACCCAGTGACCGAGATGATTACCTCCACCGATCTAGTTCATTGGCAGATTGAGGTAAAAATTTCATGTGGCGACACGAGGGGCTCGTATCATCAAGTCTTAACGAGGTTTAAACTTTTGATAGGTCGCATCGAGCAATCCCTTGCCCTTAAGTCAGGAAGATTTGTGCATTAATGGTCACGCATTTGAGGCTCGTATATATGCAGAGAATCCATCAAAGTACGTAAGGGAAAATTTCGAAGTTACGAACCTTTTATCTCCGCGTGTTAACTTCTTTTCTTTAAAGTAATTTTCTTCCGGATACCGGACCGTTGCTTCACATCTGCCCACCTCAATTATCACAAAATGTTCGGTTAGAAACCGGTTTCGAACAAGGAGATGAGATTAGTGTACATTATGACCCGATGATTGCAAAATTGGTGACCAAAGGTCAGGATCGTACCGAAGCCTTGAGAATATTGAGGAAGGCTTTGGAAGAATATGAGGTGATGCCAGTCATTCTGATGTTTTCATTAAGGATGATTTTAAGATTGCTGACAAAGTTTTTTTTTTGTCGTAAAGATTGTTGGTTTAAATACCAACATTGAATTCCTAAAAGGCGTCGCTTCGCATCCTGCCTTTATTCGGGGCGAAGTTGAAACGGGATTTATTAATGTAAGTTGCTGTTTATTTTAATACTGTTCAACACTGGAAATTCTATATTTAATCTCGTGATGCCTTAATATTTACATTGCAGAAATATGAAAAAGAATTGTTTACAACAAAATCGGAAACTCCGACTGCCATAATTCAGGCTGCTCTATCGCTTATATTAAGTGAACACCAAACCTCGTCTCGAGAAAATCCGTGTGGTAAATCTCGGTGTTCAAATAAAATTGCTTTGCTTTTCGAAAGAATTTTGTGTAACGCATTTTTTTTTTTTTAGATCCATGGGTCTCTAATCCATACTTTCGATTAAATATCACTCACGCTCGCACCCTCTTATTCCATGACCAAAATGATAATGATATAAAGGTTGGCGTTGAATTCCTTTCGGGAAACCGGTATAATATTACCATCAATCGTTTAGTAGACGACGGTGAGGTTAAAATTGAAAATGTGGCATGTGAATGGGATGACGCTGAAAGAGTAATCACGGTCGATATCGGAGATAGACGATATAAGAGCCATGTTCTTTTAGAAAAGAATGAAAAGGTTATCGTGTTTGATCAGGTAAAAGAACTTAACTTACTTTGTCATAATGGATTGAAAGCATTCTTTTATAAGACATACACTTGAAAAAAAAGTTATTTAAATTTTTTGGTAGGATGGAAAAATGGTACTGAGAATTCCGGAACCCGCGTACCTTCGTGCTGGAATTTCTGACATGGCACATTCGGTGAAAACTCCGATGCCCTGTAAAATCTCTCAGGTATTTTTTTTTTAAAAAAAATCACTCCATCGCTAGGTTTTCTCTGAGATTAATTATCTTTTCGCTGTAGGTTCTAGTACAGCCCGGTCAAAAAGTTGAGAAAGGAACACCTTTAATCGTACTGGAAGCCATGAAGATGGAGGTAGGTTGAAATTTACTTGTTTCTTCTGAACTATCGGGAGGTGAATTTTACTAAAAAAAATTTTAAACGATTGAATAGCATATAATTAAATCACCATACGCCGGGACAATAGAAAAATTGTTTTATACTGTTGGAGATTTGGTGGAGGAGAATAAGACTTTGTTGGCATTCGTCGAGGAGGATAAATGAGCTTCAAGTTTTGTGATAACACTTATACGGTCAATTTTTAATCAGAAATTAATGATAATTTAATGAATTATAAACTATTTGAAAAGGAAGTTGTAATAAATTGCATTTTTTTTTTTTTTAGCTAGACTTTATTTCCCCAAATAAGATGCGATAACTGACCATGACAGAATTATAACATTTATCGTTCAAACAATTTGGAAAAACTTGAGGCTAATTAAATTCTCCAGATTACAATCATAAATATGATTTGAGTTTTCTTTACAATCATATGAAGATTCTTAATATGTCAACGTACTTTTTTTTTTGACCTGCAATCATGCTATCATGGCATGCTTGATTGAGATATTAATAAAATATCTTCAATGTTACTTTGATTTTCATATGATGACTAACTCTCATCTTTGTTAAAGGATTACACTACTTAAAAAATATGAGGAAGTCACTAAACTAGTTAGGATTAAACAAAACAAAATCTCAGTTAAGTATTTTAAGTCAAATAAGGTATGAGAATTTGTTTTTGAAAATATCATTGAGGCTGTCAAATGATGTTCTGCTTCTTTGACAAAGTTTTTTGAAAGGTGGGTTTCTTGAGCTAGTTTTGCTTTTGTGAACTGTGATGCTGATCAGATTGTTTTTTTCCTTGTAAAAGATATATTCTCCTTGTTTTCCTAAAGTGATCAATATACATCCGCTGTATTCTTTTAAGGGAGAGCAGTTGTTGTTGGCTCTAATGTAATATTATAGTTTGACTGTATTTTGTTAAATAGCATGTTTTCTACTTATAACATTTGTGTTGATGCCTTGTAATGCAGTTCATTTAATTTCTTTATTGGATGTTTCTATTGCTAGTTTGTGATTGATTTTTGTGATTTGCATATATATTCATCTGTTTTCAATTAAGGTTAGGATTTTTTGGTTTTGTTGAATTTCTTTGAACCAATTGAGTGTTTTTCTGTTTGGTTTCTTGTTTGTCATTATTATTTCGACCTATGTTGCTAGTCTGGATCCTATATAGTTGATGATTTGATTCGGAAAGAAAATTTGATTTGTTGCAAGCTGTTTGTTATATTTCTTGTACTATGTTGGTTTTGTTATTTCTTTAATAGTTGTATCTGTTTTTTTTAATGATTTGAAGGTTTTGTGCTATTCCTGTATATCCATGTTGTCTAAGAAAAAAGAGGTGATCATGTGTAAAGTCGTGTTCTTAAGATAGAAATATATCTATAAATTGTATACTTGTTATGGGTTTGATTGACTATCATCTATTTTACACTTCTTATAGATATATATTTATAATTCTTCCTATAATGTCTTGTCTATTTATTTTTTTATATCAGTTATTGGTATATAATAGTAGTTGTCTATCCCAGAAATGAAAAAATTCATATTTCAATGGGTTATATAGGATTGTGTTGGATACTGTTTTTGTCAGATTGAGTTTATATTTGTAAATAGGATTGAGGATACTTATGATTTTGTTACAGTTTGATTCTATAAAAATCATATCTGATAGAAAATATATTACCATTGATATTCAAACTTGATTATGTAGATATCTGATTTGTTTGTCTATTGTTGCTTTCTATTTGATTATATTGATGTATTTTAGTGTTTTTTTCTTTACAAAGTGTTGTTAATATGTTTTTAATTCTTTACCTTCTAAATAAATTCCTAGGATTCTAGCTGCTTAGTTTGATGAGAATATTGTAATCAGTTGTTCGTGAATTAGGATCTGATTGTTTGGGTTGTACATAGAGTTAAGAACTAATAGGTTTGATTTAGATGTATTTATATAGATATTATTTATTGTAAAAAAGATTGAGCAAATATTACTTATTTTTTGTAATCTTTTTTGACCGCTTGCTATTAAGGTAATATCATTTATAAATGCTAGGTATGAGATATTTTAAGTTGAGATAGTTGATGATACTATAGATTTCTTTCATTTTTTTATTATTAGGATATATTATTTATGTATTTTTGAGATCAAGAATAGAAATAAGTTATAGAAAATTCTTTAGAATAGGAGTAATATGATATCTCTTTGATCAATTCCATCTTCTACTATGTATTGTGGTGATAATCCAAATAGTGTGATAATATGGTTTTGTCTATTGTCACAAATGTTTGTGATGATTTGGATAATAGTATCTGAATATTTAATTCATTGAAGTGCTAGTTTAAATCTTTGAATATTTACTGAAGCAAAGACTTTTGTCATATCTAGGTTTAGAATCCATGTTTTGTTGTTATGTTGTTTTGCATTATCCTGGATTACTTTGATTATGTGAATGGATTCTTGTATACTGCAACCTAAAAGGACTGCCCAATTGTATTTGGATAAGATTTGATGGATAGTAAAGATTTTGGCTAGTCTATTGTTAATAATTTTTATAAATTTTTCATATTGCTTCAAGAAAAATGATTAGTTGTGTTATGTTGATGCTGTTTTTCTATGGTTTTAATTTAAGAATAAAATATATACTATCCTAATTCCACTTGTTTGACACTTTATCTGTTTGTTAAAAATTGTTCTAGCAGTCTGCAATATAGTTAATTGTCTCTTTAGTGGATTTTTTTCAATACAATATAAAGGATTTCCAGTAGTTCTGATACTAATTTATTGGAGCATTTCCCAAGTACCTCTTGAATTTCTTCTGTTATAATGGTATTGATTACATAAGTATACTATTCCTTGTTCATCTGTTATATTGATTTATATTCTTCCTTCCATATTGTGAAGTAGATTATTTTGGTATTGCATTTACTAATTCAGTTCTGATAATATATCTAGATTGCTTCTTTGATTTTTTTTGGATTTGTAATAATTGTTTTTTTTTAGTTTATTTGTAATTAACTTGTTTAATATAATGTGTCTTTTTGGATTATTTAGTAAATTTCTAATAATCTGTTTTTTGTTGGTATTGAAGTATAATTGTCTTCTTAGTAGTCATTTATTTGTAGCTTCTATTTGTCTGTTTCTACATAGTTTGTTAAAAATTGCTTTATATATGTCTCTTGTGCTTTTGATAGGTTTAATCTATTTTGTGATGTTTGTTGAACAAGAGAACTTCTCTAATATGTTTATAATTATAGAGTATTTGTTAACTAGTTTGTTCAATATGAACTTGATTTTCTTAAGAATGTGGTCTGATAGTGAATAGTTATTGAAGAGTTGTCTACCCAATAATTGAATTTTTGAAAGTTTGCATAGGGCATCTGTGGAAGTGCTGAATAGTTTTGGTGATCTCTTTTTTTTCTTGTATTTTTTGATGTGAAGAGCTGTGCTTTATAGGATTGTTTCTCCTAGAAGATTTTATTTTTTATTCACTTTGTCTAGTGAGGTATTAAGTTCATTCCATAATTATTGAAGTTTGGATTATATATATTCTCCAAAATCTTTTTATTTTTCTTGGGATGTATCCTACCAATTATATTTGATGTTGGGTTATGATCTGTATCTGTTCAATGCTAAAAGATCTGTATTCCAGTATTGTATATTGCAGTATATTATATTATGGTCAGTTTCTATCACTTCTTTTTTGATTTCTTGTATTTGTATTTCTAGAAGAAGCTAGAGTAGTGATGGAGAGATCCATATTTGATTTATTTTACTGACTGTATTTTCTGTGCTACTCCATATGTATTAGGTGTTGTATGAATTGATTTTATGAAAAGTGTCTATAAATTGATTATATGATAACTATTGAATAAACTTTCTTATTAAAAGATATTGCTTTGTTTTTGAAAACTTTGAGTTGGGCATGTTTATATTGGAATTGAAAACTGAGTTAAGGTCTTCTAGTATTATTATCTGACTATTTGAGGCTTTTGCTTCATTAATGAGTTTAAGGGTTTCTTTGATACACTTTTGATTTGACTAGTGGATTTGAGTAGGAAGGTAAATAGTGATAATTCTGAGTTTGCATTTAAATTTGAATAGTAGGTCTATTGTGATGATTCTGTCCTTCCATATTTGCTTTTTATAAATATGTTTGACTAGGTTTTTTCAATTAGTAGTGCTACTTCAAACCCTTTAACTTGATTACCTGTATTGCTCTATGTGATTTGATAATTATAAAAATAAATGAAGTTTTCTTTCATATTACTAAGATTTGTTTCTATAAGTGCAAGAATACTTGGTTTGTATTTATTGATCCATTCTGTCCAAAGGAGCAGTTTTCCTGAATTTGATTTAAGACCCTTGACATTTGTTGTAAAGATTTTTCAGGTTTGTTCTATAATTTTGTAATTTGAATTAAGGTTGGGTTGTTGTTTATATAATGTGGTAATATTGTTTATTGATGTAACTGATTTTCTTTATAGCGATTGGAATTTGTTGTAGGGTTTTGGTAATGATATGTTGATGTTTTTATCTGTTGTAGAGTTTGAGTCTGACCATATTAGATTTGTTTTAAGCTGTTGTGTTATGAGTGAAGAGTTGTTAAGATTGTTAATTTGATAGTTGTATACCATGTTTGTATTCAGTTATTCATTATTATTGTTAAAGTTACTATATGTATTTTCCATGGTTATTGATTATCCGTATTAGTTTTTGTTGAGGTCTGGACTAGAGCATTCATTGTGAAGAAAATTTGATTTATTTTATCATACATCTTATCAATAGAGGAGAAGAGTTGTGTTTGTATGTTTTTGAGATCTTCGAAACTGTCTTTGAATGTGAATTATATATTGGTGAGTTGTGATATGGGTGTTGAGTCTTGTGATGCTGGTGTATAATATATTCACTGTTTATTGATTCATAATATTCTTCATCATAGTATTCCAAGTTGATAATGCACTTGTCCAAT